ACCAGAATGGGCTTTATGTGGGGCAGATGAACCTGTAGCCATATTACTTCAACTGTATTTAACATGAGATCCTCTCTATGCTTTACAGAAACGTGGTTCTGAATATAAACACCCACACCTCCACCTTTGGCATTTCTGTCTTTTCTGAAGATCTTATAACCATGTATTACTACCACTGTATCATCAAAGGTATAATCTTTCAGAGATTGTCAGAATATGAATGTCATTTGTTATTAGCAAATTATTGATTTCATGAACCTTGTTTCTTAAGCAAGATATGTTAACGTGTGCTATTTTTTAACACTTTTCTGGGATGCTTGATTGTTTTTCTTGCTTTACTGGGAAGCTTAGCAGAGGTAGACGTTCAGGTTATTTTTATTAGTGCAGGGTGAGCTGCACACAGTGGACTTCCTACTAGGGCACACCAACTCAGTACTAACAGTATTACTCTGGTTCATAGGCATATTATTACTGCATACAATAGCTGTAGGATCAGCAGAGGCATTCAGGGCAGTAAGAAGGACATAAATTAGGTTACGTACATTGTCTCTTCCAACGCCCCTCGGATAATGTACATTTGCTGAAGCTGTGAATGGCGTGGATCCCATCCTCCTTATAATACGAGCTTTGTTTCCAGAAGGTATCAAAATTGTCAATAAATGTTACACCAACAAAGCTCAGCCTTCAACACCATAGTACTCATCATTAAGCTTGGGCCCTGGGTCTGAACCCCGCCCTTTGTAACTGGGTACTGGACTTCCTGACAGGCAGCCCCCAGGTGGTGAAGGTAGGAAACAACACCTCCATTTCGCTGATACTCAACACAGGAGCCCCACAAGGGTTAGGGTTAGGGTTAGGGTTAGGGTTAACAGCCCCCTCCTGTACTCCCTGTTCACCCATGACTGTGTGGCCACGCAAGCCTCCAACTCAATCATCAAGTTTGCAGACGACACAACAATAGTAAGCCTGATTACCAACAATGACGAGACAGCCTACAGGGAGGAGGTGAGGGCCTTGGCGGAGTGGTGCCAGGAAAATAACCTCTCCATCAATGTCAACAAAACGAAGGAGCTGGTTGTGGACTTCAGGAAACAGCAGATGGAGTACGCCCCATCCACATCAACGGGGCCACAGTGGAGAAGGTGAAAATCTTCAAGTTCCTCTGCATTCACATCACTGAGTACCACTCTTCATATTTTCAAGCATAGTGGTGGCTGCATCATGTTATGGGTATACTTGTAATCGTTAAGGACTGGGGAGTTTTTCAGGATAAAAAAGAAATAATAATGGAGCTAAGCACAGGCAAAATCCTAAAACCTGGTTCATTCTGCTTTCAAACAACCAATTTAACAGAGCTTGAAGAATTTTTAAAAGAATAATGGGCAAATATTGCACAATCCAGGTGTGGAAAGCTCTTAGAGAATTACCCAGACAGACTCTCAGCTGTAATCGCTGCCAAAGGTGCTTATACAGAGTATTGAATCAGGGGTGTGAATACATTTCTAAAAACATGTTTAGACTTTGTCATTATGGGGTATTGTGTTTAGATGTGTGAGATAAATAATCAATTTAATCCATTTTGAATTCAGGCTGTAACACAACAAATGTGTAATAAGTCAAGGGGTATGAATACTTTCTGAAGGCACTGTAGCGGATGATTTGCCAGAGGTGTAACTGCATTGTCAAATCGGTGAGCAGCTGCTCTTGATCACTGTCATGAAGGCACCCTGTCCCACTCCTGTTAGAAGTTCAGAACGAGAAAATGTAGGTTGTATGGAAATAATTACGCTCAAACAGAAAATCATTCAACAAAGTAATGAGGATTTCTATCAGCCTAATCGAGGTGTAGATTACATCTCACATTCCAGTGTTGGAACTTGTAAACAAGGCTGCATGGGATTTCTCTTAATGCGACACCATGCAGCCAATGGCAATGCCCACTTTAGCTCCATATAATGCCAGGAGCCGCTTGTGAATTTGACAGCTCTAACACAGTTCCACCCCCGACACTGTCAAAACAACCACTATGCGGATATCGGCTAAAGCAAATCTTTTTTTTTGGTGCAGTGGGAGTGTCAAACTGTTTTGTACAGCTTTGAAATGTCAATGTGTTACATAAAGCTTTTGAGTGTCAAACTGTTTAATAAAACATTGTGATATCAATATGTGAAATAAAGCTTTGGAATGTCAAACTGTTTAATAAAACATTGTAATATCAATATGTGAAATAAAGCTTTGGAATGTCAAACTGTTTAATAAAACATTGTAATATCAACTCCTGAGTGGTGCAGTGGTCTAAGGCACTGCATCGCAGTGCTAACTGTGCCACTAGAGATCCTGGTTCGAATCCAGGCTCTGTCGCAGCCGGCCGCGACCGGGAGACTCATGGGCGGCGCACAATTGGCCCAGTGTCGTCTAGGGTAGGGGAGGGAATGGCCGGCAGGGATGTAGCTCAGTTGATAGAGCATGGCGTTTGCAACGCCAGGGTTGTGGGTTCGATTCCCACAGTGGGCCAGCATAAAAAAAATATATGTATTTACTAACTGTAATTCGCTCTGGATAAGAGCGTCTGCTAAATGATTAAAATGTGAAATAAAGCTTTGGAATGTCAAACTGTTTAATAAAACATTGTAATATCAATATGTGAAATAAAGCTTTGGAATGTCAAACTGTTTCATAAAGCTATGGATTGTAAACTTTCATAAATCTTTGTAGTTTCAAACTGTTTCATAAAACTTTGTAGTTTCAAACTGTTTCATAAAACTTTGGAGTGTCAAACTGTTTCATAAAGCTTCAGTGTTAAACTATTGCATAAAGCTTTTCCCTGTCTGAGTCTGTAATACCAACAAGTTTCAGGCAGACCACCATAGTCCCTGTGCCCAAGAACACTAAGGTAACCTGCCTAAATGACCACCGACCTGTAGCACTCACGTCTGTAGCCATGAAGTGCTTTGAAAGGCTGGTCATGGCTCACATCAACACCATTATCCCAGAAACCCTAGACCCACTCCAATTTGCATACTGCCCCAACAGATCCACAGATGATGAAATCTCTATTGCGATTCACACTGCCCTTTCACACCTGGACAAAAGGAACATCTATGTGAGAATGCTATTCATTGACTACAGCTCAGTGTTCAACATAGTGCCCTCAAAGCTCATCACTAAGCTAAGGACCCTGGGACTAAACACCTCCCTCTGCAACTGGATTCTGGACTTCCTGACGGGCCGCCCTCAGGTGGTAAGGGTAGGTAACAACACATCCGCCATACTGATCCTCAACACGGGGGCCCCTCAGGAGTGCGTGCTCAGTCCCTTCCTGTACTCTCTGTTCACTCATGACTGCATGGCCAGGCACGACTCCAACACCATCATTAACTTTGCTGATGACACAACAGTGGTAGGCCTGATCACCGACAACGACGAGACAGCCTATAGGGAGGAGGTCAGAGACCTGGCCGTGTGGTGCCAGGACCACAACCTCTCCCTCAAAGTGATCAAGACAAAGGAGATGATTGTGGACTACAGGAAAAAGAAGAGGACCGAGCACGCCCTCATTCTCATCGACGGGGCTGTAGTGGAGCAGGTTGAGAGCTTCAAGTTCCTTGATGACCACATCACCAACAAACTATCAACGTCCAATCACACAAAGACAGTTGTGAAGAGGGCATGACAACACCTATTCCCCCTAATAGGGCTGAAAAGATTTGGCATGGGTCCTCAGATCCTCAAAAAGTTCTACAGCTGCACCATCAAGAGCATCCTGACTGGTTGCATCACCGCCTGGTATGGCAACTGCTCGGCCTTTGACCGCAAGGCACTACAGACGGTAGTGTGTACGGCCCAGTACAACACTTGGGCCAAGCTTCCTGCCATCCATGACCTCTATACCAGGCGATGTCAGAGGAAGGCCCTAAAAATTGTCAAAGACTCCAGCCACCCTAGTCATAGACTGTTCTCTCTGCTACCGCACGGTCCCGGAGCGCCAAGTCTAGGTCCAAGAGGCTTCTAAACAGCTTCTACCCCCAAGCCATAAGACTCCTGAACATCTAATCAAATGGCTACCCAGACTATTTGCATTGCCCCCCCCCCCCTTCTTTTACGCTGCTGCTACTCTCTGTTTATTATCTATGCATAGTCACTTTAATAACTCTACCTACATGTACATATTACCTCAATTACCTCGACTAACCAGTGCCCCGCACATTGACTCGGTACCGGTACCCCCTGTATATAGCTGTATATAGCCTGTATATTGACTCTGTACCGGTACCCCCTGTATATAGCCTGTATATTGACTCTGTACCGGTACCCCCTGTATATAGCCTGTATATTGGACTCTGTACCGGTACCCCCTGTATATAGCCTGTATATTGACTCTGTACCGGTACCCCCTGTATATAGCCTGTATATTGACTCTGTACCGGTACCCCCTGTATATAGCCTGTATATTGGACTCTGTACCGGTACCCCCTGTATATAGCCTGTATATTGACTCTGTACCGGTACCCCCTGTATATAGCTGTATATAGCCTGTATATTGACTCTGTACCGGTACCCCCTGTATATAGCTGTATATAGCCTCGCTATTCTTAAATTATTTGCTACTTTTATTTCTTATTTTTTTTAGGTATTCTTTCTTAAAACTTCATTGTTGGTGAAGGGCTTGTATGTAAGCATTTCACTGTAAGGTCTACACCTGTTGTATTCGGCGCATGTGACATTTGATTGATTGATTGATATCAAACTGTTTCATGAATCTTTAGAGTGTCAAAGTGTGCAGGTCAATCACATCTCCTGTCTTATGCCTCCTGAATAGTACACGGTTCATAACATCGGAGTATCTCTGGGTACTGGGTATCGTGTGAGGAGTACACCTAGCGACACTGCCTTGGTTGAATGAGTCAATCGCTAACCCTAACCCTTTCCTTACCTATTCCACAGATGTTTCCATCTATTTGAAATGTTACTCTGAGAGAGCTGTTTACACAATAACACACGGTGGCGTCCCACCTGATGGTTCCTGGAGGCTTCCCATTGGCCGAGAGGCAGGTGGCGACCAGCGTCTTCAGATTGGATGACCGAGCTACCAGCGTGGGTGTCGACAAACTCATCTGGGTCAAAGGTCGAGCTGGACAAATAACAACACAAGAAAATCACAACTTGGCCAAACACAGCAACAGTTTGGCGAATCACAGCACAGCAACATATCTGCTAGACACATCATTTGAGTTGCAGGAAATGTAGTGTACAGGGATATCACATGACATAATATACAGGCCGGGATTCAATCATTATACAATCCTCAGGCCAGGATTCAATCCCATCGTTGGCTGTACACAATGTGGCTTTTAAAGTCCATTTTCAATAGCGGAGGTGCATAAAGATGGCAATCCCCATTTAACACACATCTCTAATGTTGGTCAATTCACCATATTGTACATTGCTCTCCATTATTCTTTTTGTTGTATGTTCATTAGCACATGATCCCAATTTCATCTTCAAGACTCAGTAGATAAACAATGACATCATATCTGAATTCTGCCATCTTTAAGCACATTCACCATTGAGCCAACATACTATAAGCAGCATTGACCGTGAATGCAGTCTCTGTGAACGCGGAAAAATTGGCCTATATTCAATCAGATTGAGCGTTAACCCGTGTTGGCCTACATCCGCATAGTGGATGTTTTGGCGGTTTTAGAAGTGTAACTGTGGTATGAATGGACAAATAGGTTAGATGCTGCTGTTGTGTGTCACAAACCACTCCCTTCCATATTATCCCTATAGAGGGACTATAGACCACTCCCTATAGAGGGACTATAGACCACTCCCTATAGAGGGACTATAGACCACTCCCTTCCATATTATCCCTATAGAGGGACTATAGACCACTCCCTATAGAGGGACTATAGACCACTCCCTTCCATATTATCCCTATAGAGGGACTATAGACCACTCCCTTCCATATTATCCCTATAGAGGGACTATAGACCACTCCCTTCCATATTATCCCTATAGTGGGACTATAGACCACTCCCTTCCATATTATCCCTATAGAGGGACTATAGACCACTCCCTTCCATATTATCCCTATAGAGGGACTATAGACCACTCCCTATAGAGGGACTATAGACCACTCCCTTCCATATTATCCCTATAGAGGGACTATAGACCACTCCCTTCCATATTATCTCTATAGAGGGACTATAGACCACTCCCTATAGAGGGACTATAGACCACTCCCTTCCATATTATCCCTATAGAGGGACTATAGACCACTCCCTTCCATATTATCTCTATAGAGGGACTATAGACCACTCCCTATAGAGGGACTATAGACCACTCCCTTCCATATTATCCCTATAGAGGGACTATAGACCACTCCCTTCCATATTATCCCTATAGAGGGACTATAGACCACTCCCTATAGAGGGACTATAGACCACTCCCTTCCATATTATCCCTATAGAGGGACTATAGACCACTCCCTTCCATATTATCCCTATAGAGGGACTATAGACCACTCCCTATAGAGGGACTATAGACCACTCCCTTCCATATTATCCCTATAGAGGGACTATAGACCACTCCCTATAGAGGGACTATAGACCACTCCCTTCCATATTATCCCTATAGAGGGACTATAGACCACTCCCTTCCATATTATCCCTATAGAGGGACTATAGACCACTCCCTATAGAGGGACTATAGACCACTCCCTTCCATATTATCCCTATAGAGGGACTATAGACCACTCCCTATAGAGGGACTATAGACCACTCCCTTCCATATTATCCCTATAGAGGGACTATAGACCACTCCCTTCCATATTATCCCTATAGAGGGACTATAGACCACTCCCTTCCATATTATCCCTATAGAGAAGGCTAATGCATTTTTTTATTTGAATTTGAATGAAGGGATTTATAGCCAATCCTTCTTATCGAAGTGTAGACAATAGAACATCACACATTCACAGTGTTTGAACTTGTAACAAGGCAGCATGAACTTCTAATGCGGCTGAATGGGATTGATCAGACTGTAAAGCCTGGTGGGGTTATGTTGCATCCAATGGCAGTGTATTGAATCCCAGCCTTATATCAGACAAACAGGAAAACGAATAACGATATGTAAATAAATACCTAGCAATACAGAAGCAATTTGCAGACTGGGGTAGTGTTGTGGTTGTTTCATGGTTGTAGTTGTGTTGTGGTTGTGTTGTGGTTGTGGTTGTGGATGTGGTTAGGTTGTGGTTGTGGTTGTGTTGTGGTTGTGTTGTGGTTGAGTTCGTGGTTGTGTTGTGGTTGTTTCGTGGTTGTAGTTGTGTTGTGGTTGTGTTGTGGTTGTGGTTGTGGATGTGGATGTGGTTGTGGTTAGGTTGTGGTTGTGGTTGTGTTGTGGTTGTGTTGTGGTTGGGTTCGTGGTTGTGTTGTGGTTGTTTCGTGGTTGTAGTTGTGTTGTGGTTGTGTTGTGGTCTTACCGTAGACGGTGAGATTGACCGTGTTTTCGCGGTTGCCAGCAGGGAAGGTGGTGTATTCACAGATATATCTGGCCTCGTCAGACAGTCGCAGAGACGAGAGGGTCAGAGTGGTGTCCTCCAGGGACGGAGTTTTCCTCCGCACCTTAACATCAGAGCCATATATTTAGAGACCAACCACAACCACAACCACAACCACAACCACAAACACAAACACAAACACAAACACAAACACAACACAACCACCTCACAACCACAACCACAACCACAACCCAACCACAAACCCAACCACAACACAACCACAACACAACCACAACCACAACCTAACCACAACCCAACCACAACCACATCCACAACCACAACCACAACCACAACACAACAACCTCACAACCACAATGCAACCACAACACAACCACAACACAACCACAACACAACCACAACACAACCACCACACAACCACAACACAAGCCCAACACAACCACAAGCACAACACAACCACAACACCACCTCAACACAACCATACCACAACCACAAGACTCTGCATGGCAAGGTTAGAAAACAACCACAACACAACCACAACCCAACTGAAACACCACATCATCCTCACCAAAGGGTTTTTGAAGCTGACTCTGTTTTTGAAGGGCGGAGCCACAGACACACCTAGAGACGGGTTAGCTATCGCCACGTTCTGTTTCTTTCCACCAATCACCTTCTGCCATGTCACCTAAAGGGAGGAAAGAACTCAAGGCAAAGCGCTTGCAGATGTTCTATTTGATTTTGTATGTGTGTATGTGTGTGATGGTTACCTGTGAGATCTTGACAGGTGGGATGCTGTTGATAAAGAGACATGGTAGATCCACCTTAGAACCCACATACCCTGACTGTCCGGCTTCCATCTGGACCGACTGACCACACACAACTAGGACACAGAAGTTAGATACACTCTTGTTCAGTTAAGTGGGGTTACGGTTAGGGTCACACACACTGTCCCCCAGTGGGATCAGGCGGGCTCTGTAGCTGAGCACATTAGGGTTAAACCTAAGCTTTAGATGAGGAACAGAGAGGAGCACAGACTAACTGTCTGACACACACGTACACACACACACACACACGTACACGTACACACACACACACACACACACACACACACACACACACACACACACACACACACACACACACACACACACACACACACACACACAGACACACAGACAGACAGACACACAGACAGACAGACAGACATACACTCAATTGGGAAAATAGAGCATGTAGGGAGGGAAAGAGAGAAAGAACATAGAGTCAGAGAGCGAGATATGAGAGAGAGAGAGAGATAGAGAGTAGTGAGAGAGAGAGAGAGAGAGAGAGAGAGAGAGAGATCTATCGAGAGAGATGAGAGATGAGATGAGAATGAGAGAGAGAGTGAGGAGAGAGAGAGAGAGCAGAGAGAGAGCGTGAGAGATAGAGCGATAGAGATGTGATCATCGAGAGAGCTCGCAGATCGATATCGATATCTCTCATCGCGAGATCTAGGAGAGCGAGATTAACTGTTTAATCTCTAGTCTGTGATTGACCAGGAATGAGAGGCTGTTTGTCTTACTGACCATGTGACCTACTACACACACACACACACACACAACCACACACACACACACACACACACACACACACACAGACACACACACACACACACAGACACACACATGCAGACACACACTTTAAATAATATACTGGAAATGAACTAAGAGTTACTAACGGTAGCACTATGGTGAACCAGTACTAGATATTGAACTCTTCTGTTACTTCAAAATGTACAGCTTAACCTTAACCCTACCCCTACCAGCTAACTAACAGCTAACCAACAGCTAGCTAAGAGTTAGCTAACAGCTATCTAACCGCTAACTAACAGCTATCTAACCGCTAACTAACAGCTAACTACCAGCTAAATAACAGCTAACTAACAGCTAACCAATAGCTAGCTAACAGACAGCTAACTACCAGCTAACTAACAGCTAAATAACAGTTATCTAACAGCTAATTAACAGCTAACACCTAGCTACTAGCTAACTAACAGCTAACTAACAGCTAGCCAACAGCTAACTACAAACTTCTTAACAGCTAACTACCAACTAGTTAACAGCTGAGTAAAAGCTATCTAACAGTTAACCAACGGATAGCTTCCAGCTTGCTAACACAGCAGCAGATTAGCAACACATACCAGGCAAAGGCAGCCAACATTACTTGAAATTAAATGTTTGTTTTTCAAAGTAATGTTTGTGTGTGTGTGTGTGTGTGTGTGTGTGTGTGTGTGTGTGTGTGTGTGTGTGTGTGTGTGTGTGTGTGTGTGTGCGTATGGCCCAGATACAGTCTGCTTCCACTTCTACTCTGCCAAATTGATTGTAATCTGTTGGACTATTTGGATATGTAGTGTGTGTCTGTGTTTGTGTGTGTGGGATCTCTGGCACTGTCAGCATGAGTAGTGTGTGTTGGAGAGCGTTCAAGAGGAGCTCAGGGATTACATGTTTCATCTGTGTTCTGGAACCAGAGCGATATCAACAGGCAGGCAGACAGACAGAATACAGACCTACGTGTGTGTGTGTGTGTGTGTGTTAGTGTGTGTGTGTGTCTGTGTGTGTGTGGTGTGTCTGTGTGCGTAATATGTTGTTTATGTATAGAAGTGTTGATGCGGTGTGGCAGCTGTTCTCAGAGTTAAACCTGATAGAACACCAGAGGATAAGGTGTGTTCTTCATTTACAGATTGAAGATGCATGATGTAGGATGAACCAACTCTTTGATGGTAGGGTTAAGGTTGGCGGGTAGACTAGAGGGTATCTCACCTTTAATAACACATGTTGCTGTCAGGAATATCCACAACACAGAATTCTCCATGACAACTCCACTGGCGCCACCTTCCTTGTAGTTCCAATAGAATAGTTCCAATAGAATAGTTCCAACGGAGTTGACCTGCGCTTTGAGATTCTATTAAAAGCACTATAGAAATTTAATAAAATATGTAATAAATGTAATAAAAGAACAGCATAGTTCCAGTTCCAACAGAATAGTTCCAACAGCTGTCTCTATAGTTTCAGCTTGCTGTGTTCTATGTTGGTACCAACAGCTGTCTCTATAGTTTCAGCTTGCTGTGTTCTTTGTTGGTACCAACAGCTGTCTCTATAGTTTCAGCTTGCTGGGTTCTTTGTTGGTACCAACAGCTGTCTCTATAGTTTCAGCTTGCTGGGTTCTTTGTTGGTAGTCGGTAGTGAAATGAACTCCTGTCGCAGCTTGTTGTCAGTCGTTAGCTGTGTGTTGGTAGTTGCCGCTTGTTGTGTATTCGTAGTTGCAGCTTGTTGTGTTGCTAGTTGCCGCTAGTTGTCTTCGGAGTTGTAGCTTGCTGTGTAGCATTAGATAATAGTTTCAGCTTGCTGTGTAGCGTTAGTCAATAGTTTCAGCTTGCTGTGTAGCGTTAGTCAGTAGTGAAATGAACTCCCTGCAGTGAAGCGGTCAGGCAGACGGGGCTAAAGCAGCTTAGTGGTGGACAGATTACTGAGTTACACTCACACACAACCTCCCCGATACACACACACACAAACACACGCATGCACACACACACACAACCTCCCCGATACACACACTAACACTAACAGACCATGTAGTTATTACCATTGGTCAGACATGTCGGCTCATGCAGCACTGTTAGCAGTAGATGTACAGTTGACTTCGTAGAGGGTGGTTAATGTGTACTAACATCATGATGTGTGTGTTAATTATGTTATTCAAACATTATGTTTGTGTGTATGTGTGTGTTTAGTTTGTTATTGAAACACAAATGATTTGTGTGTTTATCTATCTGGCAACTTCAGTAATCAAATCAAATCACAACTGTGTTGGTTAATACTACACTGCCATCTTATGGTCAATTAGACCATAAAAATGGTAGCCTCGCGAAGCCTCCTGATCCTGAGATCTTACATTAAACACTGATATCAGTCTAGAAGGGCTGTGATTCAAACCGTTTAAGGTATATATATATATATATAAGGTATATGGAGGTGTAGAGCAAAATAATTTTACAACCTTCAACCAATCAGACCAATGAGCCATATGACTAAGTACCAGTGCATTTCACTACTGGCCAGATTCAGGCCTTTCCTACTCACGCCTTTCCTACTCACGTCTTTCCTACTCACGCCTTTCCTACTCACGCCTTTCCTACTCACGCCTTTCCTACTCACGCCTTTCCTACTCACGCCTTTCCTACTCACGCCTTTCCTATGCACCCTAACCCTAACCCACTTTCCTATAACCCTAACCCTAACCCTAACCCTAACCCACTTTCCTATAACCCTAACCCTAACCCTAACCCTAACCCTAACCCTAACCCTAACCCTAACCCTAACTTCTCAGTAGTTGATATTCTGACTCAACTTAATGAAGTGTGCAGGTGTGGTTGCCTTGCAGGTGTGGTTGCCTTCCGCATGCTTAATAAATTGAATTCAACTGCTGAAACTAATGGAAGCTCTCTGTTAAATGTTGCAGTGATTTCACTCACTGTAGTAGCTAATGTGTATAGTGTTGAGTCATCCTCATACATAGCCACACTGGCTTTACTCAGAGCCAGTGGCATGTCATTAGTAAAGATTGAAAAAAGTAAGGGGCCTCAAATCAAATCAAATCAAATCAAAATGTATTGGTCACATGCGCCGAATACAACAGGTGCAGACATTACAGTGAAATGCTTACTTACAGCCCTTTACCAACAGTGCATTTATTTTAAACAAAAAAAGTAAGAATAAAACAACAACAAAAAAAGTGTTGAGAAAAAAAGAGCAGAAGTAAAATAAAGTGACAGTAGGGAGGCTATATATACAGTAAAATAAAGTGACAGTAGGGAGGCTATATATACAGGGGGGTACCGTTGCAGAGTCAATGTGCGGGGGCACCGGCTAGTTGAGGTAGTTGAGGTAATATGTACATGTGGGTAGAGTTAAAGTGACTATGCATAAATACTTAACAGAGTAGCAGCAGCGTAAAAAGGATGGGGTGGGGGGGCAGTGCAAATAGTCCGGGTAGCCATGATTAGCTGTTCAGGAGTCTTATGGCTTGGGGGTAGAAGCTGTTGAGAAGTCTTTTGGACCTAGACTTGGCACTCCGGTACCGCTTGCCGTGCGGTAGCAGAGAGAACAGTCTATGACTAGGGTGGCTGGAGTCTTTGACAATTTTGAGGGCCTTCCTCTGACACCGCCTGGTATAGAGGTCCTGGATGGCAGGGAGCTTTGCCCCAGTGATGTACTGGGCCGTACGCACTACCCTCTGTAGTGCCTTGCGGTCAGAGGCCAAGCAGTTGCCATACCAGGCGGTGATGCAACCAGTCAGGATGCTCTCGATGGTGCAGCTGTAGAATTTTTTGAGGATCTGAGGACCCATGCCAAATCTTTTTAGTCTCCTGAGGGGGAATAGGCTTTGTCGTGCCCTCTTCACGACTGTCTTGGTGTGTTTGGACCATGATAGTTCGTTGGTGATGTGGACACCAAGGAACTTGAAGCTCTCAACCTGTTCCACTACAGCCCCGTCGATGAGAATGGGGGCGTGCTCAGTCCTCTTTTTTTCCTGTAGTCCACAATCATCTCCTTTGTCTTGGTCACGTTGAGGGAGAGGTTGTTGTCCTGGCACCACACGGCCAGATCTCTGACCTCCTCCCTATAGGCTGTCTCATCGTTGTCGGTGATCAGGCCTACCACTGTTGTGTCGTCGGCAAACTTAATGATGGTGTTGGAGTCGTGCCTGGCCATGCAGTCATGGGTGAACAGAGAGTACAGGAGGGGACTGAGCACGCACCCCTGAGGGGCCCCCGTGTTGAGGATCAGTGTGGCAGATGTGTTGTTACCTACCCTTACCACCTGGGGGCGGCCCGTCAGGAAGTCCAGGATCCAGTTGCAGAGGGAGGTGTTTAGTCCCAGGATCCTTAGCTTAGTGATGAGCTTAGAGGGCACTATGGTGTTGAATGCTGAGCTGTAGTCAATGAATAGCATTCTCACGTAGGTGTTCCTCTTGTCCAGGTGGGAAAGGGCAGTGTGGAGTGCGATAGAGATTGCATCATCTGTGGATCTGTTGGGGCGGTATGCAAATTGGAGTGGGTCTAGGGTTTCTGGGATTATGCTGTTGATGTGAGCCATGACCAGTCTTTCAAAGCACTTCATGGCTACAGACGTCAGTGCTACGGGTCGGTAGTCATTTAGGCAGGTTATCTTAGAGTTCTTGGGCACGGGGACTATGGTGGTCTGCTTGAAACATGTTGGTATTACAGACTCAGTCAGGGACATGTTGAAAATGTCAGTGAAGACACTTGCCAGTTGGTCAGCACATGCTCGGAGTACACGTCCTGGTAATCCGTCTGGCCCTGCGGCCTTGTGAATGTTGACCTGCTTAAAAGTCTTACTCACATCGGCTACGGAGAGCGTGATCACATAGTCGTCCGGAACAGCTGGTGCTCTCATGCATGCTTCAGTGTTGCTTGCCTCGAAGCGAGCATAGAAGTGGTTTAGCTCGTCTGGTAGGCTTGTGTCACTGGGCAGCTCGCGGCTGTGCTTCCCTTTGTAGTCTGTAATAGTTTTCAAGCCCTGCCACATCCGACGAGCGTCAGAGCCAGTGTAGTATGATTCAATCTTAGACCTGTATTGACTCTTTGCCTGTTTGATGGTTCGTCGGAGGTCATAGCGGGATTTCTTATAAGCGTCCGGGTTAGAGTCCCGTTCCTTGAAAGCGGCAGCTCTACCCTTTAGCTCAGTGCGGATGTTTCCTGTAATCCATGGCTTCTGGTTGGGGTATGTACGTACGGTCACTGTGGGGACGACATCATCGATGCACTTATTGATGAAGCCCGTGACTGATGTGGTGTACTCCTCAATGCTGTCTGAAGAATCCCGGAACATGTTCCAGTCTGTGCTAGCAAAACAGTCCTGTAGCTTAGCATCTGCGTCATCTGACCACTTTTTTATTAACCGAATCACTGGTGCTTCCTGCTTCAGTTTTTGCTTATAAGCAGGAATCAGGAGGATAGAGTTATGTTCAGATTTGCCAAATGGAGGGCGAGGGAGAGCTTTGTATGCGTCTCTGTGTGTGGAGTAAAGGTGGTCTAGAGTTTTTTTCCCTCTGGTTGCACATTTAACATGCTGGTAGAAATTAGGTAGAACGGATTTAAGTTTCCCTGCATTAAAGTCCCCGGCTACTAGGAGCGCTGCATCTGGATGAGCGTTTTCCTGTTGATTAATGGCCTTGTACAACTCATTCAGTGCAATCTTAATGCCAGCATTGGTTTGTGGTGGTAAATAGACAGCTATGAAAAATATAGATGAAAACTCTCTTGGTAAATAGTGTGGTCTACAGCTTTTCATAAGATACTCTACCTCAGGCGAGCAAAACCTCGAGACTTCCTTAGTATTTGATTTTGTGCACCAGCTGTTGTTTACAAATATACAGAGACCGCCACCCCTTGTCTTACCAGAGTCTGCCGTTCTGTCCTGTCGATGTAGCGTATAGCCTGCTAGCTGAATGTTATCATTGTTGTCGTTCAGCCACGACTCCGTGAAACATAAGATATTACAGTTTTTAATGTCCCGTTGGTAGGATAACCGTAATCTTAAATCGTCAATTTTATTCTCAAAAGATTGAACGTTGGCTAATAGGATTGATGGGAGAGGCAGTTTACTCGCTCGCCGTCGGATCCTTACAAGGCACCCGGATCTGCGTCCGCGATATCTCCGTCTCTTCCTCACGCGAATGACGGGGATCTGGGCCTTGTCGGGTGTCTGTAGGATATCCTTCGCGAACGCCTCGTTGAAGAAAAAATCTTCGTCCAATGCGAGGTGAGTAATCGCTGTCCTGATATCCAGAAGCTCTCTTTGGTTATAAGAGACGATGGCAGAAACATTATGTACAAAATAAATTACAAATAACGCGGAAAAACACACATAATAGTACAATTGGTTAGAGG